AAATTAATAGTCCACCAATAACAATTAATGGGTCATTAATGACATTAACAGGTCCCTAATTAAATTAATGGGTCGCTAATTGGGGGGGGTGGGCGTGTCCCACCTGCTGACAATGAGCAGGTCACTAATAACAATTAATGGGTCCTAATAATTAATGGATCACTAATGACAATTAATAGGCCCCCAATAACAATTAATGGGTCATTAATGACATTAATAGGTCTCTAATTAAATTAATGGGTTGCTAATTGGGGGGGTGGGCGTGTCCCACCTGCCACGACGAACAGGTCACTTATAACAATTAATGGGTCACTAATGACAATTAATAATTCTCAATAACAATTAATAGGTCGCTAATTACAATTATTAGGTCATTAATTTCATTATTAGACCCCTAATTAAACTAATTAGGGGTGGATGTGTCCCACCTACTGATGACGAGCAGGTCACTAATAACAATTAATGGGTCCTAATAATTAATGGGTCACTAACAGGAATTAATGAGCCACTATTGACAATTAATGGGCCACTAATTGCAGTTAATGGGTCACTCATGACAATTAACAGACCCGAATAACAATTAATGGGTCACTAATGACAGTTAATAGGCCCCCGATAACAATTAATGGATCATTAATGACATTAACAGGTCCCTAATTAAATTAATGGGTGGCTAATTGGGGGGGTGGGCGTGTCCCACCTGCCGACGACGAGCAGGTCACTAATAACAATTAATGGGTCACTAATTAAATTAATAGTCCCTCAATAACAATTAATGGGTCATTAAAGACATTAATAAGTCCCTAATTAAACTAATGGGTCACTAATTGGGGGGTGGGCGTGTCCCACCTGACGACGATGAGTAGGTCACTAATAACAATTAATGGGTCACTAATGACAATTAATAGGCTCCCAATAACAATTAATGGGTCATTAATGACATTAATAGGTCCCTAATTAAATTAATGGGTCACTAATTAGGGGGGTGGTCGTGTCCCACCTGCCGACGACGAGCAGGTCACTAATAACAATTAATGGGTCACTAATTAAATTAATAGTCCCTCAATAACAATTAATGGATCATTAATGGCATTAATAAGTCCCTAATTAAATTAATGGGTCACTAATTAGGGGGTGGGCGTGTCCCACCTGCCGACGACGAGCAGGTGGCGCGGCCCCGCCCGGGGGCGGAGCCTCTGGTAGACGTCGAAGGTGAAGAGGGCGGCGGAGCTGGCGAAGATCGAGGCCAGCGACGACATCAGCGCCGCCAGAACCACCGCCAGCATCAACCCCCGCAGCCCTGGGGGGGAGAAACACCAAAAAATGGGGTTAAAAAGGGAAAAAATGGGGTTTGGGGAGGAAAAATGGGGGGAACTGATGAAAAAATGGGAGTAATTGATTAAAAAAAGGGGGGTAATTGGTAAAAAATGGGGTTATCGGGCAAAAAAATTGTGTTATTGGGCAGAGAAATTGGCATTGTTAGGACAAAAATGGGATTTGTAGGCACAAAATGGGATTAATTGACCAAAAAAAAAAATGGGGTTAAAAGGAGGAAAAATGGGGTTAATTGACAAAAAAAAAATTGGGTTACTGGGAGGAAAAATGGGGTTATTGGGCAAAAAAATGGGGTTATTGGGCAAAAAATGGGGTTAATGGGCAAAAAATGGGGTTAATGGGCAACAAAATGGGGTTAATGGGCAAAAAAATGGTCTTAATATAAGGGGAAATGGGTTTAATTGAGACAAAAATAGGGTTACTGGGAGGAAAAATGGGATTATTGGGCAAAAAAAATGGGGTTATTGGGAGGAAAAATGGGCTTATTGAGAGGAAAAATGGGATCATTGAACAGCAAATAAGATTAATTGACATAAAATGGGATTAATTGATACAAAAATGGGGTTAATAGGACAAGAAAGTGGATTAATAGACCCAAAAATGGGATTATTAGGAGGAAAAATGGGATTATAGGGAGGAAAAATGGAGTTATTAGGAGAAAAAATGGGGTTAATTGATGCAAAAAAATGGGATAACGCCTAATAACCATTAATAACGCCCTAATAACCGCCAGTAATAATTAATAATGCCCAAATAACCGCTAATAATAATTAATAACACCTTAATAGCTACTAATAATGATTAATAACCCCCTAATTAGAGCTGGAAGACGTACCGGCGGGCAGCAGGGTGAGCACCAGGCGCGGGTAGGCCACGTTGGAGCAGCCGACGGGGGAGCCGCAGGCCCGGGCGCAGTTCTGGGGGTCGGCACAGCCCACGACATCTGGGGGGAGGGGCCAAAATGAGGGGGGGTGGAGTCAGACACGGGTTTTGGGGAGTGAAGGGGGAGGGAGGGGTTGTTTTTCAAGATGGTCGCCAAATTTGGGTGGGGGGTGATTCAAGATGGCCTCTGGGTCGAGTGTTAAAGGTGGTGGTGATTCAAGATGGCCACCCTACAGAGGGTTCAAAGGGACAATCCAAGATGGCCTCCCAATGGAATATCCAAGATGGTCTCCCAGTGGAGGATTCAAGATGGCTGCCCAATATGGCCACTATAGTAAATATTCAAGATGGACGACCAATAGGATATCTAAGATGGCCTCCCAGTGGGGGATTCAAGATGGCTGCCCAATATGGCTGCCATAGTGAGTGTTCAAGATGGTCACCCAATGGAAGATCCAAGATGGCCTCTCAGTGGAATATTCAAGATGGTCTCCAAGTGGAGGATCCAAAATGGTCACCATAGTGAATATTTAAGATGGTCACCCAATAGAATATTCAAGATGGCCTCCCAGTGGGGGATTCAAGATGGCTGCCCAATATGGCCACCATAGTGAAAATTCAAGATCATTACCCAAGATGGCCACTATAGTGAAAATTCAAGATGGCTGCCCAATATGGCCACTATAGTGAAAGATCAAGATGGCCACCCAATACGGCTGAAATAATGAATATTCAAGATGGTCTCCCAGTAGAAGATTCTAGATGGCTGCCCAATATGGTCACCATAGTGAAAATTTAAGATGGCTGCCCAATATGGTCGATATAATGAAAATTCAAGATGGCTGCCCAATATGGCCACTATAATGAAAATTCAAGATGGCTGCCCAATATGGCCACCATAGTGAAAATTCAAGATGGTTGCCCAATATGGCCACCATAGTGAAAATTCAAGATGGCCACCCAATATGGTTGAAATAATGAATATTCAAGATGGCCTCCCAGTGGGGGATTCAAAATGGCTGCCCAATATGGCCAACATAGTCAATATCCAAAATGGCCACCCAATATGGCTGCCCCAGAAAGTATCCAAGATGGCTGCCCAATATGGCTGAACTAATGAATATCCAAGATGGCCTCCCAGTAGGGGTTTCAAGATGGCTGCCCAATATGGCCGATGTAGTGAATATTCAAGATGACCACCCAATATGGCTGCCCCAGAAAGCATCCAAGATGGCTGCCCAATATGGTTGAACTAATGAATATCCAAGATGGTCTCCCAGTAGGGGTTTCAAGATGGCTGCCCAATAGGGCTGCCCCAGAAAGTATCCAAGATGCCTGCCAAATATGGCTTCCCAATAGAGTATCCAAGATGGCCTCCCAGTGGAATATCCAAGATGGCTGCCCAAGATGGCCACCATAGTCAATATTCAAGATGGCCTCCCAGTGGAATATCCAAGATGGCTGCCCAATATGGTCACCATAGTCAATATCAAACATGGCCTTCCAATATGGCCACCCACCAAAAATATCCAAGATGGCCGCCCACCAAAAATATCCAAGATGGTCGCCCAATATGGCTGCCATTTAACCTATCTAAGATGGCCGCCCAAGATGATTATTCTAAAGGAGGGGCCATCTCGGGACGCCATATTTGGCCGCCATCTTGACTCCCTAAAATGGTGGACATTGACCAAGATGGCCGCCCACGTGAGAATTCAAGATGGCCGCCCATTATCTTAAATAATAACTTATGCGGCCATCTTGGATAGTAATTATGGTGGCCATATTGGGCGGCCATCTTGGATAGTCAGGTGGGCGACCATCTTGGGACGCCATATTTGGCCGTCATCTTGACTCCCGAAAATGGCGACCATTGGCCAAGATGGCCACCCAAGTGAGAATTAACTTGGGCGGCCATCTTGGATAGTCACCAGGGTGGCCATCTTGGATATTAACCAGGGTAGCCATTTTTGGTGGCCATCTTGGATAGTACCTAGGGTAGCCATCTTGAGTAGTAACCAGGGTGGCCATATTGGGCGGCCATCTTGGATAGTATCTAGGGCAACCATATTGGGAGGCCATCTTGGGTAGTAACCATGGCAGCCATCTTGGGAGGTCATCTTGGATAGTAACCAGGGCAGCCATATTGGTCGGCCTTCTTGGATAGTAACCAGGGCAACCATATTGGGAGGTCATCTTCGATACTCACCAGGGTGGTCATATTGGGAGGCCATCTTGGATAGTAACTAGGGTGGCCATATTGGGAGGTCATCTTGGATAGTCACCAGGGCAGCCATATTGGATAGTAAATAGGGCAGCCATATTGGGCAACCATATTGGGTAGTCACCAGGGAAGTCAATTTGGGTGGCCATCTTGGATATTCACCAGGGCAGCCATATATGGAGGTCATCTTGGATACTCACCAGGGCAGCCATATTGGGAGGTCATCTTGGATAGTAACCAGGGTAGCCATATTGGGAGGCCATCTTGAATAGTCACATGGCCTTATTGCGCAGGTGGCCATATTGACGGTGATATTACTCACTTCATTCAACAACCATCTTGGAAGCCATCTTGAATGGTAACGTGGCCATATTGCAGGGCCACATAGGGTGGCCATATTGACTAGGAGGCCATATTGGAACCCATATTACTCATACCATTCGACAGCCATCTTGGTGGCCATCTTGAATAGCCACGTGGCCATATTGCCCTGGGGGTCATACTGCTTATGCCATTTGATGGTCATCTTGGCGGCCATCTTGGTGGCCATCTTGAATGGTCACGTGGCCATATTGCCCTGGGGGCCCTACTGCTTATGCCATTTGATGGTCATCTTGGCGGCCATCTTGGTGGCCATCTTGAATGGTCACGTGGCCATATTGCCCTGGGGGCCCTACTGCTTATGCCATTTGATGGTCATCTTGGCGGCCATCTTGAATGGTCACGTGGCCATATTGCCCTGGGGGCCCTACTGCTTATGCCATTTGATGGTCATCTTGGCGGCCATCTTGGTGGCCATCTTGAATAGTCATATGGCCATATTGACCAGGCGGCCATCTTGGCAGCCATATTGCTCACACCATCCGACGGCCATCTTGGCAGCCATCTTGGCAGCCATATCGCTCACACCATCCGACGGCCATCTTGGCAGCCATCTTGGCAGCCATCTTGGCAGCCATATCGCTCACACCATCCGACGGCCATCTTGGCAGCCATCTTGGCAGCCATCTTGGCAGCCATCTACAGTTGGACACCCATCTTGAGGAGGCTCATTTTGACCTCAAGTTTGGGGACCACGAGGCCCGGGGGGGGGATGGGGGAGGGGCTGACCCGGGAAGAGGACGCGGGCGGCCATTCCGGGCAGGACCATGAGGAACATGGGCAGCACTTTGAGGTACCCGCAGACGACGCAGCCGGCCCGGACGTGGGTGAGGGAGCGGCCGGCGAGGCAGCGCTGCACGATCACCTGCGGGGGGGGTGAGGGAGGGGCTCCCAGTGCTCCCAGTGCCTCCCAGTGCCTCCCAGTTACGTCCCAGTGCCATCTTACTTATGTCCCAGTGCTCCCAGTGCCTCCCAGTTACGTCCCAGTGCCATCTTACTTATGTCCCAGTGCTCCCAGTGCCTCCCAGTTACGTCCCAGTGCCATCTTACTTACGTCCCAGTGCTCCCAGTGCCTCCCAGTTACGTCCCAGTGCCATCTTACTTACGTCCCAGTGCTCCCAGTGCCTCCCAGTGCCATCTTACTTACGTCTCAGTGCTCCCAGTGCCTCCCAGTTACGTCCCAGTGCCATCTTACTTACGTCCCAGTGCTCCCAGTGCCTCCCAGTTACGTCCCAGTGCCATCTTACTTACGTCTCAGTGCTCCCAGTGCCTCCCAGCGCCATCCCAGTGCTATCCCGGTGCCTCCAGTTACAGCCCAGTGCCTCCCAGTGCCCCCCAAAATCCCATCCCAGTGCCTCCCACTCCCCTTCCAGTCCCTCCCAGTCCCTCCCACTTCCCTTCCAGTCCCCTCCCAGTGCCTCCCAGTTACGCCCCAGTGCCATCTTACTTACGTCCCAGTGCTCCCAGTGCTCCCAGTGCCATTCCAGTGCTATCCCGGTGCCTCCAGTTACAGCCCAGTCCCTCCCAGTGCCCCCCAAAATCCCATCCCAGTGCCTCCCACTCCCCTTCCAGTCCCTCCCAGTCCCTCTCACTTTCCTCCCAGTCCCTCCCAGTGTCCCCTTATCTCATCCCATTCCCTCCCAGTTCCCTCCCACTCCCCTCCCAGTGCCTCCCAGTGCCTCCCAATGCCTCCCACTCCCCTCCCAGTCCCTCCCAGTCCCTCCCAGTGTCCCCTTATCTCATCCCAGTCCCTCCTAGTTCCCTCCCACTCCCCTCCCAGTGCCTCCCAATGCCTCCCAGTGCCTCCCACTCCCCTCCCAGTCCCTCCCAGTGTCCCCTTATCTCATCCCAGTCCCTCCCAGTTCCCTCCCACTCCCCTCCCAGTGCCTCCCAGTCCCTCCCACTTCCCTTCCAGTCCCCTCCCAGGGCCTCCCAGTTCCTCCCAATCTCCTCCCAGTCCCTCCCAGTCCCTCCCAGTGCCTCCCAGTGCCCCCAGTGCCTCCCACTCCCCTCCCAGTCCCTCCCAGTGTCCCCTTATCTCATCCCATTCCCTCCCAGTTCCCTCCCACTCCCCTCCCAGTCCCTCCTAGTCCCTCCCAGTGTCCCCTTATCTCATCCCAGTCCCTCCCAGTCCCCTCCCAGTGCCTCCCAGTGCCCCCAATCCCTTCCCACTCCCTCCCAGCCCCTCCCAGTCCCCCCCTTTCACCCCTCACCTGGTCGGTGCACCAGTACCAGGCGGAGATGATGCCCAGTCCCAGTATGAGGCCGGGCCAGGGCAGGTCCCCCGTGCTGGGGTGGCGGAGGAGGTGGAAGGCGTCGGGGCGGGGCCTCCCGCAGGGCCCCGTCGCGTTGGGGGGCAGGGCCAGGGGGTAGCGCTCCAGCAGCCCCTCGTAGCCCCCCACGGCGGTCAGCGCTGGCCCCGGGGTGGGGGGAAAACCAGTACGGACCAGTAAGGACCAGTATAGATCGATGTGGAGCGGTACGGACCAGTATGGACTGGTACGGACCAGTATATTGATCAATAAGGGTCAGTATGGACCAGTATAGATCCATGGTGGTCGGTAAGGACCAGTAAGGACCAGTATGGACCAGTAAGGACCACTACAGACCAGTATGAACAAGTACAGATCAATAATGACCAGTATGGATCAGTAAGGACCAGTATAGATCCATGTGGAGCAGTACGGACCAGTATGGACTGGTGCGGACCAGTATATTGATCAATAAGGATCAGTATGGACCGGTATGGACCAGTATAGATCCATGGTGGTCAGTAAGGACCAGTAAGGACCAGTATGGACCAGTAAGGACCAGTATAGATCGATGTGGAGCAGTAAGGACCAGTATGGACTGGTGCGGACCAGTATATTGATCAATAAGGGTCAGTATGGACCAGTATAGATCCATGGTGGTCAGTAAGGACCAGTAAGGACCAGTATGGACCAGTAAGGACCAGTATAGATTGATGTGGAGCAGTACGGACCAGTATGGACTGGTACGGACCAGTATATTGATCAATAAGGATCTGTATGGACCAGTATAGATCCATGGTGGTCAGTAAGGACCAGTAAGGACCAGTATGGACCAGTAAGGACCAGTATGGACCAGTAAGGACCAGCACGAATGAGTGCTGATCAATGCGGGTCAGTACGGACCAGTACAGATCAATATGGATCAGTATAGACCAGTATGGACCAGTATAGATCCATGGTGGTCAGTAAGGACCAGTAAGGACCAGTGTGGACCAGTATAGATCAATGTGGATCAGTATGGACCAGTATAGATCCATGGTGGTCAGTAAGGACCAGTATGGACCTGTAAGGACCACTACAGACCAGTATGAACAAGTACAGATCAATAATGACCAGTATGGATCAGTAAGGACCAGTATAGATCGATGTGGAGCAGTACGGACCAGTATGGACTGGTACGGACCAGTATATTGATCAATAAGGATCAGTATGGACCAGTATAGATCCATGGTGGTCAACAAGGACCAGTAAGGACCAGTATGGACCAGTAAGGACCAGTACGGACCTGTAAGGACCACTACAGACCAGTATGAACAAGTACAGATCAATAAGGACCAGTATGGATGAGTAAGGACCAGTATAGATCAATAAGGACCAGTAAGGGCCAGTATAGATTAATATGGATTAGTACAGACCAGTAAGGACCAGTATGAACCAGTATGAATGGGTACGGATCAATATGGATCAGTACGGACCAGTATGGACCAGTATAGATCAATAAGGACCAGTATGGACCGGTATGGATCAATAAGTATCAGTATGGACCAGTTTGGAGTGGTATAGATCAATATGGATCAGTGTGGACCAGTAAGGACCAGTATGGACCAGTATGAATGAGTGCTGCTCAATGTGGGTCAGTACGGACCAGTATGGACCAGTATAGATCAATAAGGACCAGTATGGACCGGTATGGATCAATAAGTATCAGTATGGACCGGTATGGATCAATAAGTATCAGTATGGACCAGTTTGGACTGGTATAGATCAATATGGATCAGTGTGGACCACTAAGGACCAGTATGGACCAGTATGAATGAGTGCTGCTCAATGTGGGTCAGTACGGACCAGTATGGACCAGTATAGATCAATGTGGATCAGAATAGACTGGTACGGACCAGTAAGGACCAGTAAAGATCAGTGTGGGTCAGTATAGACCAGTAAAAACCAGTAAAGAGCAGTATGGACCAATCTGCCTCCCAGTCCCTCCCAATCCCCTCCCAGTCCCTCCCAGTCCCTCCCAGTCCCTCCCAGTCTCCTCCAATCCTCTTCCAGTCCCTCTCAGTCCCCTCCCAGTCTCTCCCAGTCTCTCCCAGTCTCCTCCAATCCCCTTCCAGTCCCTCCCACTCCCCTCCCAGTCCCCTCCCACTCCCCTCCCAGTGCCTCCCAGTCCCTCCCAATCTCTCCCAGTCCCTCCCAGTGCCCCCCAATCCCCTCCCAGTCCCTCTCAGTCCCCTCCCACTCCCCTCCCACTCCCCTCCCAGTCCCTCTCAATCTCTCCCAGTCCCTCCCAGTCCCTCCCAGTCCCTCCCACTCCCCTCCCACTCCCCTCCCAGTGCCTCCCAGTGCTCCCAGTCCCCACCGTATCCGGCCAGCACGGAGGCCCCCAGGACGATGATGAGGGTCTGCAGGAGGTCCGCGAACATCAGCGCCGCCAGGCCCCCTGCAGGCCACGCCCCCTCGGTCAGGACACGCCCCTTTACCTCCAGACCACGCCCCTTTGTCACCAGGCCACGCCCCCTCTTCCCCCCACCCACTCCTTCTTAGAACCCTCCCACTTTAACCCCGCCCTCTTTGACCACGCCCCTTTGACTACACCCTACTCTGGACCACACCCCATTCTAGACCACGCCCCTTCTTTTTGGCCACGCCCCCCATGACCACACCCATATCTACAACCACCCCTTAAACCCCTCCCATTAAAACCCCACCCTCTTTGACCACGCCCCTTTAACCACACCCCCTCTGACCACGCCCCATCCTAGACCACACCCCATCCTAGACCACGCCCCATCCTAGACCACACCCTGTTCTAGACCACGCCCCTTTTTGGCCACGCCCCCTCTTAACCACACCCATTTCCACCACCACCCCTTAGACCCCTCCCATTAAAACCCCGCCCTCTTTGACCCCGCCCCTTTAACCACACCCCCTTTGACCACACCCCATCCTAGACCACACCCTGTTCTAGACCACGCCCCTTATTTTTGGCCACGCCCCCTCTTAACCACACCCATTTCCACCACCACCCCTTAGACCCCTCCCATTAAAACCCCTCCCTCTTTGACCACGCCCCTTTAAGCACACCTTCTTTGACCACACCCCATCCAAGACCACACCCCATTTATGGACACGCCCTTTCTCTGGCCACACCCCCTTCTTAACCACACCCCTTTCCACCACCCCTTAGACCCCTCCCATTAAAACCCCGCCCTCTTTGACCATGCCCCTTTAACCACACCCTCTTTGACCACGCCCCATCCTAAGCCACACCCTGTTCTAGACCATGCCCCTTTTTGGCCACGCCCCCTCTTAACCACACCCCTTTCCACCACCACCCCTTAGACCCCTCCCATTAAAACCCCACCCTGTTTGACCACGCCCCTTTAACCACAACCCTTTGACCACACCCCATCCTAGACCACACCCCATCCTAGACCACGCCCCTTCTTTTTGGTCACGCCCCCTCTTAACCTCACCCATTTCCACCACCACCCCTTAGACCCCTCCCATTAAAACCCCGCCCTCTTTGACCACACCCCTTTAACCACACCCCCTTTGACCACGCCCCATCCTAGACCACACCCCGTTCTAGACCACGCCCCTTCTTTTTGGCCACGCCCCACCTCTAAACCACACCCATTTCCACCACCACCCCTTAGACCCCTCCCATTAAAACCCCTCCCTCTTTGACCATACCCCTTTATCCACACCCCCTTTGACCACACCCCATTCCAGACCACATCCCATCCTAGACCACCCCCCATCCTAGACCACACCCCGTTCTAGACCACGCCCCTTCTTTTTGGCCACACCCCCTCTTAACCACACCCCTTTCCACCACCACTCCTTAATCCCTCCCATTAAAACCCTGCCCTCTTTGACCACACCCCATCCTAGACCACACCCCTTCCCTTTGGCAACGCCCCCTCTTAACCACACCCTCTTTGACCACACCCCATCCTAGACCACGCCCCATGTGTGGCCACGCCCCTTCCCTTTTGGACACGCCCTTTCCAAGCCACGCCCATTTCCCCCAACCACCACTTCCCCTTAGACCCCTCCCATTATAACCCCACCCACTTTGACCACGCCCCTTTACCCCACCCTCCTCCACGCGGCCACGCCCTCTTTTAAAGCCACGCCCCCTTTTAAAACCACACCCCCTCCCTCCTTCCCCCTTCCTTTCCTTGCCACCCCTTCCGACCCCTCCCCTCGTGGCCACGCCCATCCCGTGACCACACTCCCCTTTCCCCAGGCCCCTCCCCCCTCCCCGTCGGCCACGCCCACCGGTGACGGTGTAGACGGCGGTGACGCCCAGCAGGGCCCCCACGGAGGCGTAGAGGTCCCAGCCCAGCGCCTCGCGGATGAACAGCGCCCCAGAGTACATGTCCACCTGAAAATGGGGGTGGGGGGACCCCAAAATTACATGGGGGACCCTAAAATTATATAGGGACCCCAAAATTTACATGGGGGAACCCCAAATTCTGCGGGGTCCCAGCCCAGCGCCTCGCGGATGAACAGCGCCCCAGAGTACATGTCCACCTAAAAATGGGGGTGGGGGGACCCCAAAATTTGATACAGACCCCAAAATTTACATGGGAGCACCCCAAATTCTGTGGGGGCACCCCAAAATCTGTGGGGTCCCAGCCCAGCGCCTCGCGGATGAACAGCGCCCCAGAGTACATGTCCACCTAAAAAAGGGACCCCAAAATCACGGGGGGACCCCAAAATTATGATAGGAGACCCCAAAATTCTATGGGGGCACCCCAAATTCTATGGGGGCACCCCAAATTCCGTGGGGTCCCAGCCCAGCGCCTCGCGGATGAACAGCGCCCCCGAGTACATGTCCACCTAAAAAAGGGACCCCAAAATCATGGGGGGAACCCCAAAATTACAGGGGGGACCCTAAAATTATATGGGGGAACCCCAAAATTCTATGGGGGAACCCCAAATTCCGTGGGGTCCCAGCCCAGCGCCTCGCGGATGAACAGCGCCCCCGAGTACATGTCCACCTGGGAAAGGACCCCAAAATTCATGGGGAACCCCAAAATTACATGGGGACCCTAAAATTATATGGGAACCCTAAAATTTACATGGGGACACCCCAAATTCTGTGGGGTCCCAGCCCAGCGCCTCAGCGGATGAACAGCGCCCCAGAGTACATGGCCACCTGAAAATCATGGGGCAGAACCCCAAAATTATAGGGAACCCCAAAATTCTATGGGGAACCCCAAAATTCTGTGGGGACACCCCAAATTCTGTGGGGTCCCAGCCCAGCGCCTCGCGGATGAACAGCGCCCTGAGTACATGTCCACCTGAAATAGCACTGGTCATGGGGGACCCCAAAATCATGGGGGACCCCCAAAATTACATAGGAGACCCCAAAATTCTATGAGGAGACCCTAAAATTCAATGGGGGCACCCCCAAATTCTGTGGGGTCCCAGCCCAGCGCCTGGCGGGTGAACAGCGCCCCGAGTACATGTCCACCTGAAAAAGGGACCCCAAAATCACGGGGGGGACCCCAAAATTACAGAGGGGAACCCCAAAATTCTATGGGAGACACCCCAAAATCTGTGGGGTCCCAGCCCAGCGCCTCGCGGATGAACAGCGCCCCAGAGTACATGTCCACCTGAAAACAGGGACCCCAAAATTACATAGACGGGACCCCAAAATTACAGAGGGAGACCCTAAAATTATGGGGACCCCCAAAATTCTATGGGGAACCCTAAAATTACTCATGGGGACACCCCACACTCTGTGAGGTCCCAGCCCAGCGCTCGTGGATGAACAGCGCCCCAGAGCACATGTCCACCTAAAAATGGGGTGGGGACCCCAAAATTACAGAGGGACCCCAAAATTCCATGGGGGACCCTAAAATTATATAGGGAACCCCAAAATTTACATGGGGGCACCCCAAATTCTGTGGGGTCCCAGCCCAGCGCCTCGCGGGTGAACAGCGCCCCCGAGTACATGTCCACCTAAAACAGCACCCCAAAATTATAGGGGGGACCCCAAAATTCGATACAGACCCCAAAATTACAGAGGAGACCCCAAAATTCTATGGGGACACCCCAAATTCTGTGGGGTCCCAGCCCAGCGCCTCGTGGGTGAACAGCGCCCCAGAGTACATGTCCACCTAAAACAGCACCCCAAAATTATATGGGGGACCCCAAAATTCCACAGGAGACCCCAAAATTACAGAGGAGAACCCCAAAATTCTATGGGGGCACCCCAAATTCTGTGGGGTCCCAGCCCAGCGCCTGGCGGATGAACAGCGCCCCAGAGTACATGTCCACCTGAACAGCACCCCAAAATTATAGGGGGACCCAAATTACATAGGAACCTAAAATTATGTGGGAACCCTAAAATCTGTGGGGCCCCCAGCCTGTGGGTCACAGCAGCCGATGCAAGCCCCGAGAAAGGTCCCTAAAACAGTACCCAAATTATGGGGACCCCAAAATTACAGGGGAGACCCCAAAATTTACAGGGGCACCCCCCAAATTCTGTGGGGTCCCAGCCCAGCGCCTGGCGGGTGAACAGCGCCCCCGAGTACATGTCCACCTGGAAAAGGGACCCCAAAATTCATGCAGGACCCCAAAGTTCAGAGACAGACCTAAAATTACAGAGGAACCCCAAAATTTACATGGGTAACACCCTAAATTCTGTGGGGTCCCAGCCCAGCGCCTCGTGGATGAACAGCGCCCCAGAGTACATGTCCACCTGAAACAGCACCCTAAAATCATGGGGGACCCTAAAATCACAGGGGAGTCCCAAAATTACAGAGGAGAACCCCAAAATCCTATGGGGAACCCCAAATTCTGTGGGATCCCTAGCCCAGTGCTCGTGGATGAACAGCGCCCAGTACATGTCCACCTAAAATAGTCACCCTAAAATTATGGGGGGACCCCAAAATTCCAGATACGGGGAGACCCCAAAATTACAGAGGGAGACCCTAAACTTACATGGGGCACCCCAAATTCTGTGGGGTCCCAGCCCAGCGCCTGGCAGATGAACAGCGCCCCTGAGTACATGTCCACCTAAAAATACCGGAGGTAGGGGGACCCCAAAATTCACAGAGGAGACCCTAAAATTCTATGAGGGACCCCAAAATTACTATGAGGGAGACCCCAAAATTTACAGGGGACCCCCAAATTCTGTGGGGTCCCAGTCCCAGCGCCTGGACTGGGGTCGATACAGCGCCCCCAGAATATCATGTCCACCCGAAATTTGAGTGGGGACCCTAAATTCACGGGGGACCCCTAAAATTTACACATGGGGGACCCCAAAATTTACAGAGGGGGACTCCCAAAATCTATGGGGAACCCCAAAATTTGATGCGGGCCCCAGATTCCACAGGGCCTCACGGATGAACAGCGCCCCAGAGTACATGGCCACCTGGAACAGCGACCCCTAAAATTCAATACGAGACCCCAAAATTACAGAGGGGACCCCAAAATCTATGGGGAACCCCTAAAACTTTACATGGGGGATACCCCAAAATTACAGGGAGGAACCCCCCAAATTTGATACGGACCCCAAAATTCCAGAGGGGACCCCAAAATTCCAGAGGGGGACCCCAAAAAATTTCATGGGGGACCCCCAAATTTACAGGGGGACCCCAAAATTCACAGGGGAGACCCCAAAATTTACATGAGGGGACCCCAAAATTTACATGGAGGGATACCCTAAAATTACAAGGGGAACCCCCAAATTCGATACGGGCCCCGAAAATTCCAGAGGGACCCCACAGGGACCTCAAAATTCCAGGAACCCCAAAATTCCAGAGGGAGACCCCAAAAAATTTCATGGGGGACCCCAAATTCACAGGGGGGGACCCCAAAAGTTCATGGGGGATCCCAAAATTTCAGAGGGGACCCCAAAATTTAAATAGGGACCCCCAGACCCCATGGGGAGCCCTCCCAGTCCCTCCCAGTATGGACCAGTGCCCCCAACCCCCTCCCAGTGCCTCCCAGTGCCCTCCCTCCCAGTCCCTCCCAGTGCCCCCCAATCCCCTCCCAGTCCCCTCCCAGTGCCCCCCAGTGCCTCCCAGTGCCTCCCAGTGCCCCCATCCCTCCCAGTCCCTCCCAGTGCCCCCCCAATCCCTCCCAGTCCCTCCCAGTGCCCCCAATCCCCTCCCAGTCCCTCCCAGTGCCCCCAGTGCCTCCCAGTGCCCCCAATCCTCCCAGTGCCCTCCCAGTGCCCCCAGTCCCTCCCAGTGCCTCCCAGTGCCCCCCAATCCCTCCCAGTCCCTCCCAGTGCCCCCAATCCTCCCAGTGCCTCCCAGTGCCCTCCCAGTCCCTCCCAGTGCCCCCAATCCCCCTCCCAGTGCCTCCCAGTGCCTCCCAGTGCCCCCAGTGCCCCAATCCCCTCCCAGTCCCTCCCAGTGCCCCTCCCAATCCCTCCCAGTGCCCCCAGTCCCTCCCAGTGCCCACCGTGCCTCCCAGTCCCTCCCAGTCCCCTCCCAGTGCCTCCCAGTCCCCTCCCAGTGCCCTCCCAGTGCCCCCCAGTCCCTCCCAGTGCTCCCAGTACCGAGATCTTGGTGGACACGTAGAGGCCCAGCGAGAGCAGGGCCAGGTAGAGCTGGATCCGCCCCCCCCCGAACCTCTTGCCCAGGTACTCGGGCATGGTCGACACCTGGGTAGACCAGTACAGACCAGTATAGACCAGTATGGACCAGTACGGGCCAGTATAAACCACTACGGACCAGTTTGGACCAGTTTGGCCCAGTATAGAGGAGTTCAAACCAGCATGGACCAGTATGGATGAGAATGGACCAGTATGGAGAAGGGAGAAGGATAAACCAGTATGGACCAGTATAGACCAGTACAGACCAGTACAGACCAGTGTAAACCACTGTAAACCAGTATGGACCAGTATGGGTCGCTATGGACCAGTATAGAACAGTTTACACCAGTAAGGACCAGTGTGGATGAGTATGGACCAGTATGGACAAGGGGACCAGTATAAACCAGTATAGACCAGTGTAAACCACTCTAAACCAGTATAGACCACTATAAACCAGTATAGACCAGTATAGACCAGTATAGACCAGTACAAACCAGTATAAACCAGTATGGGTCGCTATGGACCAGTATAGAATAGTTTACACCAGTAAGGACCAGTGTGGATGAGAATGGACCAGTATGGACAAGGGGACCAGTATAAACCAGTACAGACCAGTATAGACCACTATAAAGCAGTGTAAACCAGTATAAACCAGTACAGACCAGTACAAACCAGTATAGACCAGTATAAACCAGTCCCTCCCAGTCCCTCCCAGTGCCCCCAATCCCCTCCCAGTCCCTCCCAGTGTCCTCCAATCCCCTCCCAGTCCCCTCCCAGTGCCTCCCAGTGCCCCCCAATCCCCTCCCAGTCCCTCCCAGTCCCTCCCAGTGCCCCCAATCCTCCCCAGTCCCTCCCAGTCCCCAGCCCTCCCAGTCCCTCCCAGTGTCCCCCAATCCCCTCCCAGTCCCTCCCAGTCCCTCCCAGTGCTCCCAGTTGCCCCCACTCACCCCGGCCTTCAGGCAAATGGGACGAAGACCCAGTGCCCAGCAGGAGGCACGATGCACATGCTCCCATGGGACACCAGTACGGACCAGTAAGGGCTCCCAGTGCTCCCAGTAAGGGCTCACGGGGATCCCAGTGCTCCCAGTGCTCCCAGTAAGGGTTCCCAGTGCTCCCAGTGTTCCCAGTAAGGGCTCCCAGTGCTCCCAGTGCTCCCGGAATGGGGTCCCAGGGCACCAGTACAGACCAGTAAGGGCTCCCAGTACTCCCAGTAAGGGCTCCCAGGGCTCCCAGTGCTCCCGGAATGGGGTCCCAGGGCACCAGTGCTCCCAGTAAGGGCTCCCAGTGCTCCCAGTACATTCAGAATGAGTTCCCAGTGCTCCCAGTGCTCCCAGTAAGGGCTCCCAGTGCTCCCAGTAAGGGCTCCCAGTATGCCCAGTATGAGTACCGGGGCTCCCAGTATGCCCAGTATGAGTTCCAGGGCTCCCAGTGCTCCCAGTAAGGGCTTCCGGGGCTCCCAGTGCTCTCAGTAAGGGCTCCCAGTGCTCCCAGTGCTCCCAGTTCCCCCAGTATGTGTTCCAGTGCTCCCAGTGCTCCCAGAATGGGGTCCCAGGGCACCAGTACAGACCAGCAAGGGCTCCAGTACTCCCAGCAGGGCTCCCAGTGCTCCCAGTAAGGGCTCCAGTGCTCCCAGTAAGGGCTCCGAGTGCTCTCAGTAAGGGTTCCCAGCATGCCCAGTGCATGAGTTCCAGTGCTCCCAGTGCCCCGTAGTGCCTCCTCAGTCAGGCTCCCAGTGCTCCCAGTGAGGGCTCCCAGTGCTCCCAGTAGGGGCTCCCAGTGCCCCAGTGCCTCCCAGTAAGGGCTCCCAGGCCCCAGGTGTCCCCGGGGCTCAATGAGGTGGGTGTCATATCGCGATATGCCCAGCAGGGGCGCTCTACGCTCCACTCGAAGCCCCCCCACGGCGATCCCCGAGGCCGCCCCGGTCCCTTCCCAGTGCTCCCAGTGCTCCCAGTATGACCCAGTAAGGGCTCCCAGTGCTCCCAGTGCTCCCAGGGATTGATCAGGTGGGTGT